GGGGCCCTAGGCTCGCCCGCGCGTTGGAGGGAGTAGGAGGAGGGCGCTGTGTCTGTGAAGAGACGGGGAAGGAGGCTCCTTTGATACCTTCAAGGCGAGCTCCGAAGTGCATCCCCGCAAAGCCTTTGCTTTTGAAGTTTGACGGACAAGTCTCCCTGATAAACTTTTTGCTTACTCTGCACAGTCCTCTCTGCAGAGCTTCCTTTTGGCTTCGCAGCTGCTTTGCTTTAGGACGGGAGTCTAGAACATGGCAGGGAGAGCCTTGGGCTTAGCTCAGGATAAAGGAGGACGAGAGTTTCCAACTTTGAGTGGGAAGTAAATGATGGAGACCCGGGCCCTAGGCAGGGAGAAAAGAAGTGCCTGAGACTTTAAGAGGAACTTTTTGTCCACAGCTTCAGAATTTAGACAGCATTTTCTCTGGGAAGCCCCGCGTAACCCCAAGTTGCTGTTAAAGATGGGCTGCCCTTGGCAGGTAGGAATGGACTTTTCTAGTTTCCCATCCCCCCCCCTTACTGGGGATCGAACTTGCATTGGCGAGGCAGGCAGTGGAACCACTGAGCCAAATCCCCATCCCTCCCATTCCTTTTTACAACCTGTTTCTTCCTTTACCCTTCAGGCAAAACAGGTGTTATAGGGATCATGGAATACAGCATGTTTATGGTCTATTTTCTACCAAAGATAGACTGAAGAATTGGCTAAATCTGTCCAGAACTACTTTCATGAAGGTGCTGTATTAGGTGGTCCCCTTCAGGACCCTGAAAGACTGAAGGGGGAAGTGATGACTTTGTTGATGACCTTTCTTTAGGACTCTTTCTCTGCTGTGACAGCCTCCTACTGACTCTGGAAACGGCAGTCAACAGGTTGTGCTGGGTTGAGGCCTGCTCCTATGTCAGTGGGAAGGTACAAAGGGCCTGGGGGGCCAGCTGCTCGTTCCTCAAGGGGTCCAAGGGAAGCAGCTTCCTCTGTCTGCAGTCCTTTCTGGCAGGCTGACTGTTCTTTGATACAAAGGAGTTTTTGAAGAGCACTTTTGAGTGGAAAGCAGCTCTTACTAGCTTAATCACCTGTTCTAATGGCACCTGTGGATTTAACCATGTTGTGATTAACTTGACCTTTGAGAAAAGAGGGGCTGTCTGCTATGCTGTTTGTTCAGGTATCATTTGAATGTGATGAGTCCCTGCACAGAATCGGGCATTTGTTTTTGTATCACCCAAGCGGCCATCCAGGATAGAGTTGCATGTAAAAGGTATCTGAGCATTATGCAAAGGGCTCAGGATGGTCATAGTAGTTTTCTTGCTGCAAGCTTTTTAGACAGGCCGTTTCTTCACAGATGGGTCAGCGTTACATGAGGTAAGGAGAATTATATAGCACTTTGTGAAATTAGCAGTTCTGCCTAGATAGAGGAAAATCTGAGAGAACAGCTCAGTGCCTGGTTCTAATATGGAGGGGTTTGCAAAATTGAGATACTGAAATTCACTCATATCCCCACATGTAGGATGCCACCAGCCTCTTTAATCATATCAAGGTGACTTCCTGGGTCTGGCTTGGAATTCCTTTTGCTATGGTGGGGTGGCTCTTTGGGTGGTGGTTCCTGGCTAGCCAGGAACATTTTTCTGAAAGTGATACTATAATGAGCCTGATCAAGTTAGAGAGGCAGAACCTGTACTCTGGGTCTACTCCAGCCCTGAACCTGTCCCGTGTAGAGAAGTCAGGTGTCCAAGGAATTAAGGTGAGGTGTGCTCTGGACTCTTGGGTATCATCTTTTTCTAAGTGTAAAGTATGATTGTTTGCCATACTCCTCTGGGTCTAAGCAGTAGAGCAAAACACTCTTTTGAGCTTGGGCACATTCCCCGACTCTTGATAAGCACCCCTCCTCCTGGAAGAGTTGGTCAGAAGAAGAGCTAAGTGAATGTATGACAGGTAGAACAGGAATGGTGAGCAGAGTTTTACTGCTTGTTGTTGGATGGACCCAGACTGTAGGCTGGGCAGGATGGGGATTTGAGCAGGAAACTGGGGCAGATGCGAGGCCAGTAGTCCTCCTATCTGTTCTGTGGTTCTGCAACTACAGCGGATTCTCCCAGGGATCTTTACCCTTTTCTTTCCTACTTCCTTCTACAAATTTCTCTAAATTCAGCTGGTTGTGGAATTAGTCAAATGATTTGGTGAAATCAGTTAAGGGCAGACATGGAAATTTGTCCCTTTCCCTAACGCGTTTGAGATTCTAAGCTATTTGTAGCAACTTTCTTAAAAATTCTATAACTTAGCATTTCCCAGCAGAGAATAAAGATTTCTACAAAAGCAAACAATATTCTGGCAGAGAAGATGAAACTAGGCATACTGATTTGGTTCTGTGTGTGTGTGGTGTTGGGAGTTGAACCCAGGACCTTGAACATACCAGGCAAGTGCTCTAGCACTGAGCTATATCCCCAGATTGACCTACTGGTATGTATGTATGTGTGCATGTATATATGTATGTAATGATTTATTTAGATTTTTTTGGACAAGGTCTCCCTATGTAGCTGAGGCTACCCTTGAATTTCTGATGATTCTCCTGCCTCAGCTTCCTGAGTGCTGGGACTATAGGCATGGCCAACCACACCCAACACCCACTGGTTTTAAATAGTGTTTTGATTGCATGTGCTGGTACACTTGTGAGGGTCTCCTGTAGCACGTGTTTTATTTGGTTATTGGGTTCCCTTTAGCAAACTGTCTGCTAGCAGAGTACACTCCATTTGTCCCAGCCGCACCCCCAACCCCAGTATTGAACCCTGGGCCTTGGGCAAAGTGCCCTGTCACTGAGCTACATTTCAGCCCTTAGGCAAAGTTTTTGCAGTCTCTTGAAAGGTTAGATATCTGAGGTGGCTCACACAAATGCAGTGTTGGGCTGAATGCAGATTTCTTTTTGCTGATGGTTTCCTTTGAGTCTGTTTTTTAAAATGTACTAGGTTTCCCTCTCCATTTGAAGAACAGCAGGATGTTTTCTTCTTTTTTCTTTTTTGGTGCCAGGGATTGAACTCAGGGCCTCAAGCTGTCTAGGCAGGCTCTGCACTGCTCAGCTGCATACCCAGCCCAACAGATTTTTTTTGTTTTTTTTTTTTTGGTACCAGGTATTGAACTCAGGACTTTGTGCTTACAAGGCAGGTGGTGGCACCACTGAGCTAAATCCCCAGCCCCCCAAAAGCATTAGTTATGATACTGAATCTTCAGGATGATCTGATGCTTTGATGCTTGAATCTTTTCCACCACTCTTCTGTTGGATTTGGGGAGGAAATTTAATGCAGTCCTCAGCGACCCCAAGTCATCTAATGTCCCAGTTCTTCCTTTGAAGCAGCAATCTCCAGGGTCTTCTGGAGGGAGGCTGTCGCAGGGCTCGGCCTGGATTCTGCTGCAGTTCTGTGGGCACAGCTGAGCTAGCCTAGATTTGGCCTTTGTCACTTGCAGTGATGAAAGGTCATCTTTGGTCCATGAAGACAGGGTCTTCACTGACTGAAGACTTTATGTTTGGTTAGAATAAACTGTAGGTAACATAGGGCACAGTATAGTCTTTCAGGAATTAGCTGTCTAAGAAGCAGGAGTGGAACAGAGCTTCTGCTTCCAGGCGTAGTACCACTGGGGTGCTGTGGACGCTCCTTCAGCAGAGGCTGGATGATTGACTGGTACATCTCTTGCCTTGAAATTTGGCACATTTACAGGCACTGTAGAAGACTTCATTCCTGCCAGTCCCACTTGGGATTGGTCATTTAAAACAGAAGAAAGCAGTAAGGGCAACCCCTGAGTCTGCTCTATTTCTAAAAGAGGTCCTGCCTGTGGGAGCGTCTTGTGCCTGTGGGACTGGTCGTTATCATCTGCTTCCTTCCCTGGGTCTCGTCCCCACACACGTATAGCCTCCCTTTAGTTATCTTTCATGTCAGGTTCCTCCAGGATGAGGCCTAAGACTTGTAAACTAGGGTTCCTTAGTGTGACATTTTCTGGTTTCCATGCTTAAACTGACGGTCCTGTATTTTGTCTTTTTCAGGTTGGGCGGCCCAGACCCTTTGGACTATGTTAGCATGTACAGGAATGTGGGGAGCCCTTCAGCCAACATCCCTGAGCACTGGCACTACATCAGCTTTGGCCTGAGTGATCTCTATGGTGACAGCAGAGTCCATGAGTGAGTGTCTCACTTTTCTGCCCTCCATGTACCTGTTTTTGGCCTTGAGCCTTATTTCTGAGGTTTTCCTGAGCAGGGGCAATAATGCCCATCCTCTGAGGTTGACACCTTTCAGGTGGACCCTCTGGGCCTATGCGTTCTGCTGGTATCTATCTACTTGTGCTGAGGTGGTCCAGGTCAAGCATTGCTCCTCTCTTATAGGAAGGGGTTGATGATGAGCAAGAGTTCCAAAACCATCAGTTTTTTCAAGCTTGCTCTGAAGTTTGGGCTAGAGAACAGACCCAGAACTTGAGCTGATGCATCTATTTTCTTTTTCTTTCTTTTTTTTTTTTTTGCATCTATTTTATTGTATCTTATATATATATTTTAAACAAAGCAAAATTGAGCCGGGAATGGTGGCACACACCTGTAATCCCAGCACTTGGGAGGCTGAGGCAGAAGGATCACTGTGAGTTCGAGACTAGCCTGAGCTGCATAGTGAGTTCCAGGTCAGTCTAACTACATAGTTAGACACTGTCTCAAAAAACCAAAAAAAAAAAAAAAAAAACCCAACAACAACAACAAAGCAAAGTTGAAAATATTTACAGCCGATGTGTTGGCACATGCCTGTAATCCCAGCACTTGGGAGGCTGACACAGGAGAATTGCCATGAGCTTGAGGCCAGTCTAAGGTACATTGTGAGGTCAAGGCCAGCCTGAACTACACAAGAGATTGTGTCTCCAAAAAAAAAAATTTACAACACTCATATTCCCATAGCCCAGATTCTGTCATTCACATCTTACTGTAGTTGCTTTATCTTTTCTATTTTTTCTTTCTTTTTGTACTGGGGATTGAACCCAGGACCTTTACATTGAGCTACAACCCCAGCCCCATTTTAAAAAATGTATTTATTATTATTCATTAATTAATTAATTTATTGTTTTGAGACAAGGTCTTGCTATATCCCTAAGTTTTCCAGGCTGAGCTTGAACTTAGGCTCCTCCTGTCTGACTCCTAGAGTGCTGGGATTACAAGTATGTACCACCATACCTGACCAAGGAGATGTTTTTGTTTTTGTAGAGCTGACCATGCTAGGATGCTAGCCAAATTTAATTTTCACACAAATATTCAGTTCCTGTGCACCTGAAGATACCAAGACTCAAAGAGTTCTATGTCTTGCTTAACTTAACTGCTTGGAGGTGACAGAGCCAGCATTTCAGTGTAGGCAGTCTGGCATCAGAGTCCATGCTATTTTAGTGACTGCCCTATTCCTCCTAAACAGTTGTATCATAATAAACTATTATTTACAGTTTTAAAACCATTTTTTCATATTTATTTTTTCCTGCACTATTGAGTAGTGAACCTAGAACCTCACACATTGTAGGCAAGTGCTTTACCACTGACCTACACCTCCAGCCCTTTTTATTTTTTAGGGATGGGGGGGGTCTCACTGAGTTGCCCAGGTTAGCTCAGAACTTGCAATCCTCATGCCTCAGCCTCCTTAGAGTTGTAATGACAAATGTGTGCCTCCACCACAAGACCATTTCACTTGTACTCTTGAGGGAGGGGTTCTTTTCTTTGATGTAAATGTAGTATTTTTTTTTCTTCATTAGCATAGTTATACAAGAGCTGATTTTATTTCTGTTGTCATTCTCTCTCTTTTTTTTTTTTTCTTTTTTGCTTCCTATTACACTATTATTAAAAATTTATATATTTTTTTGGAGACAGGGTCTGGCTAGGCAGTCCAGGCTGGTGTTGAACTCACTTTATAGCTTAGGCTGGGCTTGAACTCACAGCAATCCTCTTGCCTCAGCTTCCCAAGTGCTGGTTTGTACCATCTTTTTTGTATCTTGGTGACTACTTGGTTGAAAGAGTAGGAGGGTTCTCTCTTTCCTCAACAGGCAGATTCTGGAGATGATACAATGAAAAAGATGATAGCTCAGTGGCCCTGCGCCTGCCTGGCAAGCAGCGTCCTGAGTTTGAACCCTGATTCAACAACAACAAAAAGATAACAATAGCCTTTCCCCCCTTATTTTAGTTCTTACTGTCTTCCACATTCCTGCATTCAGTGCATTGCAGTATTAGCAGGTTCTCTTGTATTGCCATCTTTTTTTTTTCTTTTGTCAGTTTTTTATTACTTTTAAAGCATCTCCCCCCACCCCCAAAAAGTGCACTTTTATCAGTCGAATTTTTAAAATCTCGCACAATTTATTATAAACACTCTCAAATACAGTCAGTCTATGGAATGTCTGCTCTGTGCTGTGCTCTGGGCACTGCCCCATGCCCCACTCACCAGGCCCGGCCCCCCACAGTACAAGGCACCTCATGTCTGGGCCTGGGAGAGGCAGGGGCATCTGGGCTTGGGATTCCCATGCAAAGCCCTGGGCAGCCCCAGCCCCCCTGGCTCCTGGCCCTGCTCTTGTATCACCATCTTAATGGTGGTGGAAGAGGCTCCTGAGGAGTTCTGGGAATCACTCAGTTTCACATCTAGGCTTTTAAAGAGCGGGAACTGAATCAGGCTGTCAGAGCCTTGGACTGCACCAGTCCCCGAGACAGGCCTAATCCAGCCTTTCCTCTTCTGTTAAGCCTGCAGGCTTGGGCCAAATCTCCTCACTGGCGTGTTTTTGAGTGCAGTATCTGGCCCTGTGTGCAGCTTTGAGATAGATCCGTGCAGTGTCAGCGAAAGGCTTTGGGAACAGAGACGTAATCTTGCCTGAATGAGGAGCCTGCCCTACAGCTTTTTTAATAGAGGTGGAAGAGCAAATAGATGTGGGGGTGAGGGACCATGCTGGACTTCAGTTTATATTTTAGTAAGAACCTGCAGAGAGCAGAGCAGCTAGCCCATATCTCTCTGTTGGCAGATTTATTCTAATTAAAAGACTATCCCCTGTGTGGCTTATGGATACTTCCTGTGTACTTACTTATCAAGTTTGGGCCCATGGCCCCAAATAGCATGATGAGGGTACAGAGAAAGCTCTGTTTTAGTGGGAGCAACCTTTGAATTTCAAATGGGACCTTCCCTACTGTTTTCCTTGACACCTTCCGCAGCCGTGTGTACCACTTTCACATGCTAACTATGTGGTATTGATGTGTCGTTTAGGACAAGAGTGAGGCCTCAGTTTAGGCTCTCTCCTCATCATATTTTTTCTTTTATTTTTTTTGGTACCGGGGATTGAACTCGGGGCTTTGTCTTGTGAGGCAGGTGGCAGAACTACTGAACTAAATCCCCGGCCCACAAGCATATTTTTGTTTTTTAATTTTTTTTGGTATTGGGGATCGAACTTGAGACTTTGTGCTTGCGGGGCAGGCAGTGGAACCACTGAGCTAAATCCACAGCCCCTCCCACAAGTATATTTTAAAAAGTTGAATTGCTACTATCTCTGAAAATCAGTATCACTTGCCATAATTTAAGGTAATTACAGAAATAAATATAATACAAACCAACATTATTAAATCTTATATTCTGTGGCCTACCACAGAAGCTTCTAAGCCCAATTTCCCTTTTTTTTCCCCTCCCAATTTCTCTTTATTCTAGAGATTAGCAAGTCTGAGAGAGGTGCTAAAAAGATGTGCTGACATCTTATGGCACTTCCCATTCACATGGTCAGAAAAATTGAGAGAGTCAAAAGGGGACTTTTTGTAGTATGAGTCAGTTTTATTTATTGTCACACAAATTCCTCACTTAAAAAATAGTGATCTGTTCTGTCCTCTTTACACTTGATCTTAGCCAAAAGGCTGGAAGAGACTGGGAAAGTGGAGCTGCTTGCCAAATGCAAGGGGAGGGCAGTGAGGGCAGTAGCAGGAGGGTCGCCTGATGTGTTTGGTGCTCCTCTGCTCTGCACTGTCCCTTGTGACTGGGGAGAGGGGAGTGCACTGGTGGTGCTTTTCTTTAAGATAATAAATAACATGAGCAAACCATTTTCTTTGTTTTTGGTACCTGGGATGGAACTGGGGACCTTGTGCTTGCGAAGCAGGCTGTGGAACCACTGAGCTAAATCCCTGGCCTGAGCATACCTTTTTCACTTTTTACTGTCATCCAGGTTAGTCCTAAGTTCTTGATATTTACAATGTTAGTTATCATGTTATATCCATAGGAGATCTATGACATGAGGACTTATAGTGCTACCTTTTGCCAGTAGACACAGCAGCCCAGAGAAGCTGCTGTACAGCTAGTAGTAAATTAGCAGCCAGTTTGGTGACCTGAAAACCCATGGTCAGTTGCAGTGCTGTCTCCTTTTCATTTTAATCAGTGCATTGCATTTGTTACATGCCCACTGTGTGTTTCCTCTTAGTAGCATAGTGGTTGTTCCTCACAGCTTGTTGATGTAGGCACAGCTGAAAGTGAAGAGGTCCCTGCATTTCTTCTTGCTCAGGGCAGGTGAGGAGCCCTACCCTGATCACCTTAAGAGGGTGAGGGGTAAAGAGCAGACTGCTTGGATGAGCCCTGGGTTGTCCCAGTTCTTCCCCTCTGCACAGTCACTGAAGGAAACAGGGCAGGAGAGCATTTGTTTGAATCACAAATTAAATTATTTATTTAGGTGCTGTGAATTGTAATTTTTTTTTTATGCGTGTGTACTGGAACTGTACCCAGTTCTCCCCCCGCCCATACTAGGGATCCAACTCAGGACCTTACACCTGTGAGGCAGGCACAGCGCCACTGAGCTAAATCCCTGCCCTGTACCTTTCTTTCATATTATAGGAATATACTGGTCTACTACTTAGCTATACTACCCCCAGAAGCCCTGTAAATTTATTTTTTAACTGATATATTAAAAGATGGTATGTATTAATGGGATATGCATGTGATGTTTCAATACATGTATACATTGTATAATGTGCTTACTATTTTTTTTTCTTTTCTTTTTTTTTTTTTTTTTTATTTTTTTTTTTTTTTTTTTTTTTTTTTTTTTTTAATGTCCTGGGGAGAGAACTCGGGACCTTGTACTTACGAGGCAGGTGACGGCACCGCTGAGCTACATCCCCGGCCTATTTCTTTATGGTGAAAATATTCAAAATTCAAA